TCCATGTGTGCGAGGACGAATCTCTCCCCTACCAAGCGGATTTCCTTCACTCACACAAAACTGGACGTGTGCTTTTAGCATACATCATTCCGCAAACACAACACCGTTGTGTTACTGATGTGGCCTGCATCTTCATTAAAAAAAAAGTTAATCCACTCTTTCCTAATGTTGGGATCAGAAGGAAGGCAATGCAAAGACTGTTTTTCCCACAGCTTGGCACTGCACAGCGTCTTGTATTCGGAGCATCTTCATCTTTGGTTTCTGCGTAGACCTGTGCGTTTGCCTCTCTCGTAAACACTACATGCACGAATCAGTGGGCGGGTTTAAACAGGCAGCGATGTAGAAGGCGGTGCTTATCCACACTATTACATCATAGAGTGGTACATTCCAAAATCTGTCATTTTGGCAGACTGGCTTCAATATAAACTGTTTTCATATTTAACTGTTCTTTACAAAGTTTTGAGTTCTGAAACGTACAGGATGTTTTTTATAGTACAATTACCTCTTACATGTCAAAAGATTTTGGCTTCTCAGTTCATGACCCCTTTAAGAAAGATTCATTTTCGCACAGTTCCTTGCACAATATTATAACATGCTGTGAGATTTGAAAACTGATACTTATGAACGCTAGCGTCACATATACAACTTTATATGTATGGGTTTTCTAACGCAGTAGGTTTGTTCAGTAGATCACGTGATACGGCATTGCTCTTGTGAAGTGAAGCGCTCCGGTACAAATACTGTGAACCTGCAGTTCGACAAAACAACACGGCTACATCAGTGAATATGTTTTTGTATCACTATTGCATTCGTTAACACTGTCGGGTAGGTTTAGGGTTGGGTTTGGTGTATTTGCCAACACAATAGAGCATTAACCTTTTAGTGACACTCCCTGTACATTTGAATTCTCAATTGAACTCTTTACATATAAAGTTTAAAAAAAAACACCCAAAGAGTTTGATTTGTTATCTGAAGTGTGATCCTGTGAACACCAGTAGATGACACTTTTCCTCTGACACATACATACTTCTCACTACATTTACATTTATGTAGCTGATGCTTTCTCTTTCTTACAAATGAGGAATGCAACAAAGTGATTCATCTTAAGGAGGCAGCGACTTGACATCAGCTATAATGAAAAGTTCCAAGAATATTCAGACTAGTACAGAGATGAAAGTAAGACAAAATAACTTTTTTAATGCATAGTTACCTCCAGGATTTCATCTGAGTTTACAAAAACAAGAAGTGAAACCAGTTTTGGGTAGAATATGGTCATGCAGAATATGTGTTTTATAAGTACTAATAAACAGCCAATATGTTAATAATGGGCATGTTTATAAGCAACTTGTTAATGGTGTGAATTGGCCCCTAAACTAAAGTGTTAACACAAAATCAAAATGTTCAATTCATTTAATAGTTGCTCTACAGATAGAACAGATCTGAACAAACTGCATGACTGACATAGTCATAAATCATTTTTGACAGTCTATGCTACAACTGCTAGAGTGTATGAACGAGTTTTACAGTACTAGTGGTTTGATAAGGTACATGAGAGAGGAAGAGTTACATCTTAACTTGTCATAAAATCCCTGGCAGGCAACTTCGAGGACTGGTTTACCTTCACTAACCACTGCAGCAACTGCCCAGGCTTCCCCATGATATCCAGTTAGTAATCCAACACTTTCAGTCAACTAAATACTTTATGTTGACCATATTGTGCCTCATTACTGAAACTTACCTTGATCTGAATTTCATTGCCTACATGTATTTATGTGAAATCTTTGATTTAAGCCTCTGTAAATTCACCATGTTGTGTCCAAAAATATTGGCACCCTTGCACTTTTTTTCCCCAATTACCCACATTTTTACCTAAAAATGACAAAATATTTCTTCTCCAACTTTTTATTTCAGTATTACAGGACCTTTGATTTTGATTCAGAACAAAATGGCATTGAGAAAATTATAGACACAGATTTAATATTTGATAGAACAGCAATATTCATATAATCAAGCCCTTCCTAAAACCATCAATGAGTTTTCTGCACCTCTGTGCTGTAGGTTTGGCCCACTCTTCTTGTGCAAATCAAGTTCTCCCATATTAAATTGATGCCTTCCCATAACTGCAGTTTTCGGGCCTCTCCACAAGATTTCAACGTGATTTAGATATAGACTCATTGCTGTCCACTTCAGAACAATCCAGAATTGTGTCTGCCTGGGTGCTTTTTGAAGTGCATTTAGGATGAACTAAAAGATACTAGAAGATTTGTAGAAGACTTTTGATGGAGACCAAGCTTTCTGACACCCGTTCTGACAATAGCTTGCAGACAGCATAAGAAATTTTGATTTCAAACTCTGAAGTGAATTTATCTTAACTAAAAAAGACAGGCAAACAGTCAGTAATAAAATAAGAACAAATAAATAACAAGCAATTGCACAAATAAATACAACAGCAAGATTAAAAAAACAGTAATATCCAGGTACAAAAATACTACAGAAATGTATTTAACTGTAAAATAACACTGGACAGTCTTTACTGTATAAATAAACATTAATGAACCAGACTGCAGCAGGTTTATTTAGGCTGCTGTCTCTTTAATACTTTGTGCACAGATCTAATAGTCCCAGAGAGTGCACCAGTACTGTATTTCCTGTATTGACTTTTCTGTCTTCTTGTGCTTGAATGTTAAAATTGGTAAGTAAATCACTTGTAAATGATACATTCCATCATCTGTCCCGATCATCTTTCAAGCTGAAAGGCTTATGGGAATTTCCCGCGATATGAGCGCAGAACCTGCGGTAATGTGTAGATATTCCCGCACAGAAATTCAAGCCCTGCACACGTTGAAGGCAAAGGCAACAAAGCAACCACAAAACATCACTGAACCACCTCCATGTTTGACTGTAGGGAAGGTGTTCTTTTGTTAGAAGGCTTAATTTAGTTTTCTTTAAATATAGAGATGGTATGGTTTACCCATCTTCCCTCAGGACATTCTTCTATAAGTATTTTGTCATGTTCTGGCAAATTGCAATCTGGCTTTCTTATGTCAGTCGGTGGGGTCCTCATGGATTTCTCTTACCACATAACTCCCTTTCTTTGAGATTTTGACAGATGATGCAAGTTGCTGGGTGAGTGCGCTGGTGCAAGAAACGGTCATACCTTGTGTCTGAAGGTCATCTTCAATCTGCTTTCTCCACAATTCGAATGGTCCCTCACTGCGATCTTCTATCAAGTCTTCTTATGTGGCCATGTCAAGTGCTGTTGGCTACAATGCCATGAGCCCTAAACATCTTGCTAACATGAAGCATGGTGGAAAGAGGAATATCGAGATCTCTGGAGATCTCACTTGTAGCTTTGAGGTTGTCCGTGGTTGGCTACAATCTTGTGCATGACCTCAGATAGTTCTCTGGTTTTCTTTCTTTTGTTCATGCTCATTGCGGTACACAGTAACACAAACAGGAGAATGAGTCATTTTCTCTATTCAGACTGGTTGAATGCATGATTATTATACTGCAGGCACTTTCATCTTGCTACAAGAAAGTTCAGTTGCAAAGTAAAAAAAAAAAAAAAAATGAAATCTAATTATTTTTAACTACCTCTAGAAGATGTCAATAATATTGACCAGGCAATTTTAGGATTTTTCTGTGGAATTTGTGCTTTTTTTTTTTTTTTTTTTGTTCAACTGCACACTTACATATATGGATAACAAATGTTTTAATTTCAACAGTTTTTTGGAAGAAATTGTGCAAGGATGCCAACATTTTTGGCCGTGTACTGAATAGAAAAAAAGAAGAATGGTTTGTCATTTCTTCTTCTGGAAATCTCACATTATTTTCTCACCAAATGTTACTACCTTTTCACATACACAGAAACTGGTCTATTGAAATATATAGAATAGAATGGAATGGAATGGAATAGAATAGAAATGTCTGTTCTCAGAATACGCATTACTATTATGAAGTAATAAAAAAAACACATAATGTGATTGAATTGGTCGGCTTTTGACAGACTGACAGAAAACCTGTTAGCTGCGATGATGGATCGCATGCACACTGCATTGTTTAAAAACCCATTAAAACAACAATGCAAGTACAGTAGCTACTATTTGAAGCATATAACAAGATGTGTGCCTGGCAACATGGTGTAGGAGGTGTGCGGCTGCCTTCAGGGTATATCACTGCCTCCTACTGCTCTACTTGACTTTCAGCTTTTACAATATCAGCTTCCAGGGGGGGAAAAACCTTCCTTTTTCAGCTATGACAATCATACAACAATCACCATTTGTAAGGAAATTTCTTTTTTTTTAAATGACAAATGCATACATAGTAGTCCATCATAATCCAGCTGTATATTTGTTTTTTGTTTTCTCATATGAATCCTCCAGTTCAGTTATTTTCAGCTTATTTTCCAATCACAATGAGAAATGAAACAGCATTTAGACCCACATTGCAAAACAACATTCACTATGATTGAACTGACGTTCAATTTCAAATTCCGCCTTATCTCTGACAATTCCTACTTATATAATCTAACATGTCAGACGTTAATAACGGCACAACGGCTGTATTTGGGCACTTAGAGGTTTTTATACTGAATTTGCTCTTAACCTCAACACAGCATTCACTAGTCGTCATAAGTGAATGTCATATCTAAAATCGCCCACGTATTTGTCACAAATGAAAAGGAGTGATTGTTAAAAGGTAAAATTATGTTTGACTTGGTCCTCAAAAGTAACATTTTTGTTCTTTACAGACTTATTAATGACTAATTAATGAGGTAATTCACCTCTCACATGAGATACATAGCTATGACATGAGCCTACAAACAAATAAAAGTCACCAGTTTTGTAAATGGGGGCTTAAGATTGACTACAGCAATAAATCAACTATAAATTGAGTCCACTGCTGATGTTCTGTAGTCCCTAATGATTGCTTACAATTCCCAACCTTGATGGCATTATTATAGCATTTGAACTGTTTGTTGGACTGATCTGTGCACCTACCCCGAGTAGACAGCTTCTTTGTGTTGATGATCTTTGCAGCATACTCTTGCCCTGAGAGAACTTTCAAACATCTCCGCACCACAGAAAAGGCTCCCCTAAAAACCAGAAGAACATGGAAGCAAGGTCTGTATGTTGAACATTTAGTGCACTGTGAATGTAAACTTCAAGAAAAAGACGCAGGTTTACCTGCTAGGCAGGCAGTAATATATTGGATTATGCAATATTTCAATGTCTGAATTGAATTGCCACCCACAAATGCAATTATGTAAGCGGTTTGACTGCCCACAGAAAAAGACTGTGTGTGTGTGTGTGTTCAGTATGAGGGTGTGTGTGGGAGTAGAGCAGTGGGCACAAGGCCAGATGGAGTTGAAGACCCATCTCTGTAGAGGTGTTACATGCTCTCAAATCAAGAAAACAAGTATACAGTGCACTCGCTCAGGAAAAAAAATGCTGTAGTACAGAGTGGGTGGATGGAAAGAGGGAAGCAAGCAGATTTTTTTGTACTTCTGCCTCAACATTTGACAGCATTGTTACTGGCACTATGTGCGTCAACGTACAGGTATCTAAATTTAAGTGTGTAACATTTATGAACGTAATTATTCATAATTATAAGCTGGCTCATTTCATTGTATTGTACTGTAAGGTGTCTTGAGATATACACACTACATATTTGTGTGTGTGTGTGTGTGTATATATATATATATATATATATATATATATATATATATATATATATATAAACTCATACATACATACATACATGCATAATGTATCTTCTTACAGATCAAGAAATTTAAAAATCTATTTTTGTTGTTACTGCAACTATGACTATATTTAATGAAGATGATTGTGCTAATACTCCACATTGTGATTTTTTTTCCCTCTCTCTGAAAGCATGAGATTGTTTTAATGCACCGTTAATGGCATAATGTTGGAATCACTCGCCGCAGAACTTTTAAGTCATTTCCTCTGTGCATCTCCTCCACCCAGTGCTTGTTATGTAATGCAAGTTGCGTTATGTGCCTTCTTAAGTTAGGACATACTGATCATTTCTACACATACAGTGATTTCATATTATGCTACATTCAAACCAAACCCTACCAGATTTGCCTCACAACCACTTTCAGATGAAACTCATAGTGGGTTTTCAGTTCTATCTATCGGGGATATTTTCCAGCTACGTTGTCCTTATTCTTTAATGGACAAGCTGTCTGGCAGTTCTAACGCTCTTAACTTGAGCTGATATGTTACAAAAGCATTGCATTGGAATGAAAATAACATTTCGGGCCATTGTGCAGCTCAAGCATACCTTCACATCATTTTAAAGAAATGCAGCGATTAGAACTTACTTTCCCAGTTCCTCAAAAAGCTGGTATTCCTCTGTGAAGCGCGTGCAGGTGATGGTTGCCATCCTGGAGATGCGTGCGTTTCCTGCGTCTGATGAGAGTGTTGTGAGGTGAAGCGTTTGAAGCGTCAGGCAGGAGGGACAGGAGCGCGATCAAACGCCTGGTCTGGAGATCGTTTTCTATATCGGTAAAGTGGAAGTGGAATGAGGAAAAAAGGATAGATCTTTCTGTGGCTGCCTGCGACTGGCTGCTGTCCTCCATACACAGCCCTCGTTACCATGGCAGCCGCATCCTCCTCCTCTCCTCACATGCTCACACACATGAAGCCATGCAGACAGTAAAACACACCCACACACTTTCAGTGTGCATCACACTGTTACTTCACAGCAGTCTGCATATACTGTATGAAGAGATGGCCAAAATAGCTATTTTAAATGCTTTCGGATGAAACAAAGCCTACAGTACTTTTTTATATTCGTATTCAGTCAAAGTCCTTTCATTCAAACGCAAGCATTGCAGCATAGATTTTTACACATTGGGATGGCCTGTTATTGCCTATTGCTATTAGTAGAAATTCCCTTGCATGTGGATTTAATGATGTCTGTCTTTTTCTATATCTATAGAGAAAATAATAGAAAAGAATCAATGGACAATTTACCCAAAGTGGCTGATAGGCCTTACAGGCTCATTAGGGACAGGTTAGGGACCAGGGGCATCTATGAGAGTCCCGACTGAATAAGGCTGGGTGATAGACGATATATTGAGATCGGATAAAATTTATGTCGATAACGGTGTTAAGCTCTGGACATTGTTACTCTATGGATTCATCTAACAGCAGACATAAATGCAACAACAGCCAGTCAGTGCATGTATCTAATAACTCTGCATGTTCAGCGTGTCTCTGTGTAAATGAATGGTATAGTTTTGTCTAATACACAAACTCAAACACACGTGACACTCATACGTGATTCCAGCATCTGCGTCTCAATATATGAGACATGACCATGTAAACGTCTCCAGAGCTACTCCAGAGCTACTTTGAGAGTCACTTTACCAGCTTTACACAAAAAATTAAGCTTTAGCGTTAGTTCTGGCAGGTCACGTGAGTCAAGCTTGCATCAGCTGATTCTCAGCTGATCACATCTACCTATAGGAATACAACACCTATCGCGGCATTCCTATATAAGCTGTATTCGGTATTATTCGGCAGCTTTTCAGCTTGCTTCGGCGCAAATTACCCTCCTCCATCCCCAGCTCCACCTTTTGCCACAGTCAGGACTTAGCTTTCTGATATTCCTTGCTAATCAGACTCCTTTATCTTGAATAAAGTGTTACACTTAAATATCATTGAGTACATTAATGGTATCTGCCTGGTTCTGTGCTGTTAACCCTGGGGGGTTATTATTGCTGCTCTCCCTGCTCATTCATGACAGGCTGCATGGATGGGCAGGGAGGTTTTTTGCCCAGAACAGAACCATACCGCCAAACCAAACTTTATGCTAAGTATCTATCATTTTGACGATAGTGGTCCTGACAGAACTACCATTACACACACACTGAAACTCACAGATCTTCACCACAAACCGATAAAATTAGAGTTTGGTTTAACTTGAAGAAATTATGAAATATATTACTATTGTACTTCAATACCACGACTGAGGTGCCCTTGAGCAAGGCACCAAACCCCGAACTGCTCCCCGGGCGCCTCAGGAATGGTTTTATAGGTGGACATTTTTTCCCTACTCCTTTTCTGATTGTTTTTCACTAGTTTTGCATTTCAGTGTCACTACTGGTAGCATGAGGCGATACCTGGACCCTACAGAGGTTGCACAGGCAGCCCAACTTCTCCAGGATGACACATCAATACGTGCCATTGCCAGAAGGTTTGCTGTGTCTCCCAGCACAGTCTCAAGAGCATGGAGGAGAATCCAGGAGACAAGCAGTTACTCTAGGAGAGCTGGTCAAGGCCATAGAAGGTCCTTAACCCATCAGCAGGACCTGTATCTGCTCCTTTGTGCAAGGAGGATCAGGATGAGCACTGCCAGAGCCCTACAAAATGACCTCCAGCAGGCCGCTGGTGTGAATGTCTCTGACCAAACAATTAGAAACCGGCTTCATAAGGGTGGCCTGAGGGCCCAACGTCCTCTAGTGGGTCCTGTGCTCACTGCCCGGCACCGTGGAGATTGACTGGCATTTGCCATTGAACACCAGAATTGGCAGGTCCGCCACTGGTGCCCTGTGCTTTTCACAGATGAGAGCAGGTTCACCCTGAGCACATGTGACAGACGTGAAAGGATCTGGAGAAGGCGTGGAGAACATTATGCTGCCTGTAACATTATTCAGCATGACCGGTTTGGTGGTGGGTCAGTGATGGTCTGGGGAGGCATATCCATGGAGGGGCGCACAGACCGCTACAGGCTGGACAATGGCACCCTGACTGCCATTAGGTATCGGGATGAAATCCTTGGACCCATTGTCAGACCCTATGCTGGAGCAGTGGGTCCTGGGTTCCTCCTGGTGCACGACAATGCCCGGCCTCATGTGGCGAGAGTCTGCAAGCAGTTCCTGGAGGATGAAGGAATTGATACCATTGAATGGTCCCCACGCTCACCTGAACTAAATCCAATAGAACACCTCTGGGAAATTATGTTTTGGTCCATCTGAGACCACCAGGTTGCACCTCAGACTGTCCAGGAGCTCATTGATGCCCTGGTCCAGATCTCGAAGGAAATACCCCAGGACACCATCCGTCGTCTCATTACAGATGTTGTCAGGCATGTATACAAGCACGTGGGGGCCATACAAACTACTGAGTACCATTTTGAGTTGCTGCAATGAAATTTCAGCGAAATGGACTAGCCTGCTGCATCATTTTTTCACTTTGATTTTCGGGGGGTCTTTGAATTCAGCCCCTCTGTAGGTTGATCATTTTAATTTCCATCAAACGATGTGGCAACTTTTCGTTCCTAATACATTACACAGTCCATATCAGTATAGATATCCAGCAGGATATTTTTCCCCTTTGAGATCTGATGTGTTTTCAAAGTGTTCCTTTAATTTTTTGATCAGTGTAATTGCATATATGTGATGTCATTGTGTGATTACATAAACAAACTGGTAAATCAGTTATTTGAACCAGTTCATTTTCAGTGAAATGAACTGTCCGAAAGAGCCATTTCACGGAAACAAATTGATCTTTCCCATTTGTCTGAGGCTCTGAATTATATGTAATAATGTTGTAAATAATGTTTCGTTTCTTGCACGGACCGATCGTTTCACTTCACAAGACCATTGCTCTCACTGATAGTTTGATCAGAGATTTCAAGCCAGTTGTTCCCAACACTGTTCTTGGAACCCCCTCAACACTGCGTGTGTTAAATCCTCTCCTCTCTTTGTCTGACACACTCATTTCAGGTCTTGGCAGCTCTACACAGCTGATAACCTGAATCAGTTGATTAGGGAGACATGCCAAATGTGCCCTGTTAAGAAGGAGATCCGGGTACAGGGTTTTGCACCGCTTACAATTAGGGCGCCTTCCACCAAGTATAATAATGAGGGAAAATATATTTATGCTCTTTACTTCCTTAACTCCACATTGCTCCTCTTCACACATAAGCCCAATGACTGTGTGTTCTTTTCTTTGCTGCTTGTATCACATAAATGCAAATAGAAAAGTTACAGTATTACAGACAAATTAGAACATCAATAGCACTAAGTTCTTGGGTTCAATTGTTTAAAATCTGTATTTTAATGCAGTGCAAGCCACTTTAGATAAAAGTGTCCTCCAAATGCATACATGTAAATGTTTCTTCTCTTCCAAATGACCGCCTGACAAACACACACACACCTAAATTATTACAAGAAACAAGGACCTCCTTGCCTCTGCTTTTGATATCCACATTCGTCTCATTCTTTTTTTTATCCCTTGAAGGGATAGGTTTTATCCCAGTTTCTGGTCAAATGGGATGCCTTTCACATTTCTGACAGAACAGGCTGACATATTAAAATCTGTGATTCTTCCATGGGGAACGGATAGTTACTGAATGAATATAATGTTATATCAAAACTCCGGATGGCAACAACTGGAATCCAACCAATTTCACAATCTGTACCCACTGTTTTGCAATCCACAGAATTGTAGACCCTCCTCTCAATTATAAAATCTCCGCCTCAGCAGTAGCCCCTCCTCTCAAATTAGAAATCCCTGCCTCCACATAAACTCACATAAACATGTTGACATTATTCATAGATTAATTATGAATTATTAATTGTTTATTTAAACAAAATGTAGATATACAATATATGATTACTGTGATTTCATTAGTTACATTAGGGCATTATTATTTCTGGTGTTACTTTTATTGACTGTTATTAGTAAGACATTCATTCATTTAGCAGATGCTTTTATCCAAAGACACCTCAAAGTGAAAAATGTCTTCCATTTGCCTGATGAAAAAAAAACACATTTGCCCATATCATCAAACCCCCTTCACTCTCAACAAAACTAAAACAAGAAAAAAAGGGAAACAAGGTTAATTTGTTAACTATATGCATCAGTTTGACATATAGTGCCGTTTCCATGACGACCGAGCACTTACCGCCAAGCCGCATCCTAGCAAACGGTCACTGCACTGACGTTATAAGTTACCAGGTTGCATCCATTTTATGATTAATGTTTTATTTTGTAGTTCTTCTGCATTTGTACTTTATCGCTGTGTGGATTACATTAGCCATCCACTTTAGAGTAAGACTGTATATAAACTGCATTGTTTATTTTCTTATGTTATTGAAGCTTTCACTAAAACTTGATGGTGAGAGTTAATAACATTCGTTTTTTTTCTTTTTGCACAACATGTAGTAAATCTCATACCTTCTTTGATGCACAATGGGTTTAAGATTGATTAAATCAGCATATTTTATCATGAAGATATTTTAGTAATACTATAGCATATTTGGAGTGACTCCTTTTTGTTGTTATTATTTATTAAAATGATCTTTTATAATATTTTAGCAAATGATTAACTGTATTGTAAATGAATCAGTGGACCGAGATTTCTACATTTAGAAAAGCAGCAACAAATCTATTAATACAGGGTAACTCTTTAGTTTAGGGATCAATTCTCACTATTAACTAGCTGCGTATTACTAGTATATTTATTAATACTTTTTTATTAAAGCTCATATTAATGGGTTATTCTACATGATCATATTTTAGATCCCTAATACTAACCCATACCTAAACTTAATTACTACCTCACTAACTGTTAATAAGCCGCAAATTAGGAGTTTATTGCGGC